ACATTCTCTACTCCTTGGTGTCCTCAGTGTTAAACTGGGATACTATTATTCTGCCCCAAATATCTCATTTCATTGTAAGGAGTCAAATGAGATAATCTATTAAGGCTTAAGTTTCTTTTCATTCAAAAAATGTAGTAAGGGTCTACCTGGGTGAGCAAAATAAAAAAGGAAGAAAGAAAGAAAGTAATAGTAACCACTTATTTGCTAAGAAATATATACATGTGAGGTATGAGATGTTATCAGAAACATTTTTATTTAAACATATATTGAGAATATACATTTTTATTCTTCATTGTTTGAAAATTAAGACAAATGGATGAAAAACCAAACAGTGCTATGATAAATATGAAAAACTTAGGAGAACAGAAAATTAATGCTGAGGTATTAATTGGGGATCTTTGTCCCCACTCAACATCCATTTTTGTGAGTAAGGGAGTTGACATTCTTACAAAACCCCACCTGTAGAAAGAAGTGACTGGTCTAATGATGGATCTTTCACTGAACGTGACCAATCAGAACTCACTCCCAAAGCTTTGAAACTTGGAAACATCTATCAAGTGTGTTCCTGATCAGAGGCAATATTGTGCAGCCTGCATCATTGTTGAATAGATATTCAGTGTGTCTGCTCATCGTGGTGCTGGGGGAATCACTGAAGCAGGAGAGTAAAGTCCACATCTGTAGTAAGTGTTTTTTCCATAGAGGATTAAACATTTGTCCCTGAAAGAGATCAGGTGTAATCAGTGTGCAGCCACATGACCAGCTGGGCCATCTCAGGAGTTTTCAGTGTTTGCCTCTGCTATTTGCATCTTGGAAACTCAGGAGTACAGTATCCAGACCAGCTTGTTGAGTTTTCAGCCTCTGCTATTTGCACATTGGAAACTTGGAGCACCAGTATCTAGATTGGCTTTTTGAGAAAAACGTACATTGTTCAGCCCATGAACCACTTCAGTCTCCTCTGCACGGCTATTTTGCATATGCTATGGGGCAAAAGCTGACTGACTTTCACCAGATAGTCACCTTGTCAACCAGATTGCTGGCTCTATGTAGTGGGTGCCCTCTAGTGGACATTTGCACGGAAGATGAATGTTTTCACATGGTTGCCCATTTTGAGAATTTCGGTCACATATCATTCCCCCCAGGGTCACAGTCTTGCAACATTAATATTTGATGGTGACCCTGATATCACCAGTTCTCCCAGAAATGCAATATTGTTTTTGGATTACTGTCTTGGTGGGGAGGAGTCCTTTCAGTGGCTTCCATTTGGCCCTTCTAGCATAAGAGTTTCTACTCCACAGATCAGGAAGCAAATATGGATTCTGCCAATAATTAGATAAATATCTTCTTAGTTCACATTTTGTCTCTGTAAAAATAAGTACCATTTGGGACTACAGTTCCACAGGACTTAGATGCAATTGGGTCAAGACTTTCCATAGTGCACAAGATGGTCAGGGTTCTGAGCCTTTATGAATAAGCTCCATTAAGTAGCTTTGTTATATTACCTAGGGGCCCTCTAGAGATGACTTCAAGGAAGGTTTTATAATGTAGCTCTTGTTATGAATTGAAACATCGCCTCTAAATCCTAGTCCTAAATACCTCAGGATGTGACTGTATTTGGAGATGGGACCTTTAAAGAGGTAATTAAGCTGAAATGAGGCTATTAGGGTGGCCATAATCCAATCTGACTAGTGTCCTTATAAGGCAAGGAAATTGGAACACATTAGAAAAAACACACCAGAAGGGCTCATGCACCGAGTGACAGCCACGAGAAAGCACATTGGCATCTGCAAGCCGAGGAGAGGATTCTCAGGGGAAGCCAGAGCTGCTGACACCTTGCTCTTGGTTTTCCAGACTCCAGAATTGTGAGATATAATTTTCTGATTTTTAAGCCACTCAGCATGAGATATTTTGCTGTGACACCCAAGCAAATTAATACAATTCTCTGCTGTAACAAAGCAGTGCTTAGTAGCTTAAAATAACAAATTTGTTTGTCTTACATTTCTACAAATTAGATGTTCAAATGTGTCAACCTGGGCTAAAATCAATTTGTCAACATGGCTGCATTCTTTCTGGATACTCAAGGAGAAAATCTATTTCTCTGCCTTTTCCAGCTTCCAGAGGCCACACACATCCTTTGGCCTGTAGTTTCCATTTTTCCATCATCAAAGTCAACAACCTTGCATCTTTCTGTTCATTCTTCCCTTCACGTTATTTTCTCTGAATCTCTTCTGCCTCCCTCTGCTTCGGGAGGCAGCAGCACTGGCGGTCCGTGCAGCCGCGTGCGCTTGCGCAAGACCCCCCCCTCCTCCCTCCCCTTCAGTCTCCCTCTGCTGCTTTTAAAGATCCTTGCGACTGAATTGGACTTACTCATTTAATCCAGAATAACTTTCCTATTTTAATGTCATCTGAACGAGCCCATTGTAACCATAATTCCATGTGTAATCTTAATTTTCCTTTGCCTTATAATGTAATATTGTTCTGGGAGTTCAGATATGGACACCTTTGTGGGGAGGGCATGAGTCTGCCCATCCCAGTCCTAATAGCCAAGTTGCTGGGCTGTTCCTATAGGGGCTGATCACTGAAGAAGTAGTAGATATTTGACAATTAGGTTCCCACTCAGTAGACTTGAAAATCTTTGGATTATGTAAGCCAAATAACTCATTAAGAGGCTACCAACATTCCCATACCATAAATATTTATTTCACTTTTAGATAATTAATATGGAGGGTTCTCTCTCCTCTGTCTCACAAATCTCCCACTAGCCTGCCAGTCTGCCAAACCTAATCAGGAACTAGGCGTCAAGGGAACCCTTTGATGCTGTGCAAAAAGGTCATCATTTTGGAGAAAGAAGAAGGATGGAGAATGGATCTGGAGTGATAAATGAGAAAGGTTCTGTCCCCCAGCAGAGACTAGGAGACAGAGTCTTATCCTTTCCAATGACTACATTTCAAAGGAATGGCTTTCAGGTCTTTGAAAAAAATACTCCCAGGTCATTGAGGAAGACAGTCCTAGGTGATAGAAAACATATATACATCTCAAAGGGACAGAGAGAGAGAATTCAAAATTGTAAGCCCTTTTCTAGTAAATGTTCTAATACAGGAAGCCAGGGACCTATTATCAGGTATTGGCTAGAACAAACTGTAAATTCAGTAACAGTCCTGAGCTATTCTAGGCAGGAACCCAAAAGAGCGTTGGGTGGCCCCAGAGATATGGCTTTGAGCTGCTAGAAGCCATGTTAAAGTTTGGTGATGGCTTCTTGAAGAGTAGATAGTAGAAAACAAAACATGTTTGGTGAAGTCTCTCAGTACAGGGGTTTGAATGGAGTGTCCCTATTATCATTTACACAATTTTTATCACCAAGTTAGAATTTGCCAATGAGCGGTGCTCCCAAGTGATTTGGGGAGCAAAAGAGAAAAAGACATGTATACTCTGATTGTAGGCAGATCAAATAGCAGAGGACAGATTTGAGCTTTGAAGATGTGAACCAGAAAGCAACTGAGACAGGTCTCAATTAATTTAAATGTTAATTGTTAATTTTTTCAAGGCTATTCCTAGAAAAAAACAACACAGAGTCACAGAAATCATCTCTGGTTTGTGACGTTCTCCATAGGTGATTTTGAGGACTTCCATATTTAAAGGGAAAAAGCTGGCTGGAGGGAAAAGAGAAAGGGTATGGCAATCCACATCTTGCAAGAGAAATGGAGCAGGTAGTGGAATAATCAATCATATATTTCTCTCTTGCTCAGTAGATCTACACTTTGCTTAAGATAAGGTGAACATAACTACCTGTGGAGATATTTAATCTTTTATCTGTATCAATCTGCCTAGGAACAAAATGAAAGGCAGTTTCTTGCATGACTCAGCTTTCAACGTTTTTTTTTTTTTCTTTTGTCAAAGTTAATTGGGTTCCTGAGTTCTTATTTTCCTTTCACAAAGCCCATCTTGGATCTTTAAGCAGTTTATGGAGATACTATCAGGGGACCAGAAGTTGTACAGAATAAGCAATTATGTATGTTTATGAAGGCTGCTTGACCCATGTGACTTAGTAGGAAGAACATCACAGAACAAACATTCTAGTTCATGCTGTGTCACTAGCCAGGTGGCCCTAGGTAATTTATTAAAAAGCCTTTAGGTTTTCTCATTGCAAAATAAAGAGGGTTTGCTATGAAAATAAAAGACAATGGAGCATGCAAAATCGCTATAAAGCCAATGGCATTCAACTAGCAACAATCGATTTGGCTATAGTATAAATTCTGTTCTCTCTTTTGGGCTCCTAGGCTGACATTCCATTATGATTTCACAGACTTCTGGTTAAGAATTTGCTTAATGTATTTTGCTCTGGCTTAAATTAATTGACACTTCTGCAGCTTTGAAACTCATTCAAACTTTCCTATAATTCTGAAGCCATACTTCCCTAAACACCGTGCAATGTGCATTCATGTTTTTAAAATAGTACATAAAAATGATCTCAGAATCACTTTTTGCATTTTTGTGTCTTTTTAGTTAAGACATCATCACGAGGAAAAAGTGAATTGTCAAATGTTGCTTGCAGGAGACAGCTGATCTGGCAAGGAAATTAGTCATTCGTATTTTGGGCATATCCATTCTACTTCCCTAATTGTCTGAGGACAGTGTAACTTTTAGGGTCTTAGATACACTTACTTATCTTTTAGTGTGAGGTTGTGTGTTAATCTAGCTAGGAGTTGGGTTGCGTCGAACATTTCCTATAGGTACAGCTGTCAGAAGCTAAAATTACCTGTTGTGTCTCTTTGTTGCCTCTACTCTATTTAGGTTCCCTACAAACTTCCCTTTAAAAAAAAACTTGCATCTCTTTCACCTGTCATCTGCAGTTATTATGCTGGAGCTTTGTTGATGGAGGGGTGAGGTTTGGGGATCAGGGGAAGCATTCTATAGTCTTATGATTTAATCTCTGTCTTTTAATGGGCCCTTGTCCCTGGACTATGAACTTCATCACTGTTTCTAAACTTTTTTTTTTTTTTTTTTTTTTTTTTTTTTTTTCTCTGTGAAGTTGAATTGGAACTGGAAGCCTAGAGGAAGCTAGAGTTGTATAGTTTCCCTTCAGCTGCTTAGGTAAGATAACGCTCTTAATAAAGTCTTTTCACTGGGGGAGTAAGCCTTTGTTACGGGAAATGCTCTAGTTATATTTTTAAATGATTACTTTTCCCCTCTCTATGCCAGGGACATCAGGTGATATTTTTTGGTACATACGGTGAGAACCAAGTGGGATTCCTAGAAGTAAAGCCTGTAAGTGTGTAGGGGCTCCTCTAAGACTGCAGCTCCCAGGAGGCTCCAATGCTCACTCTGCTTCATATTCAGCCTGTTGCCAAATTCCTGCTTAGGTGTTCCTGCCAGTTTGCGGTTCCACTGACATCTGCAGCATGTAATCTGATCTTTGCTGTGATGCTCTGTAATCTCCTGTCTTTCCCAGGTTCATGTTGGTAGTTTCCCTGAGACCTTAATTCTCACATGGGTCTAAGATGTCATTGATTTTCAGTTTCTCCAGCTTTTTTGTGGTATCGGGATATGAGTGATGACTTCTAAGCTATTCAATGTTGAAGCTGAAACTAGAAGTCTTCCATGTACTTTTTTCTAAAAATAGACAGTATGGCATAGTGCCATGTTTCTCAAAAGAAAATACACATATTGATCTCTACACCTAAGTGTTGATATATTATTTTATTATAATTTTATGTTAAAATATAGAAACACACAGGGAGGGGAACATCACACACTGTGATCTTTTGGGGTTGGGGCTAGGGGAGGGGTACCAGTAGGAGAAATACCTAATGTAAATGACTGGGGGGATGGATGCAGCAAACCACCAAGGCATGTGTATACCTATGTAACCTGCACGATCTGCACATGTACCCCAGAACTTAAAAGTATAATAAATAAAATAATTTTTAAAAAATCAAATGACAAAAATATTTAAAAATAAAATAAAGTAATATAGAAACACAAATTTAGACCTAAACGCCATAAGCCTACAGTTCTTAACCAAGTTTTTGAAATTTAATTCATCTGTTAAATTTTAAAATCTCACAAACTATTAAAATTTTAACACCTCCAATTTAAGATTGTGTGGGTGAGCCAAAATATTATTATAAGTTTAATAGAAGGAATATACTATTTAGTTCTGATATTATCCTTGGTCTGTTTCTGTTTTTTGGCTTCAATAATTCTCATATAGGAGAGTTCTGTTTAATAAGGCTATATAAAATGTTACTGGAACATCACAGTTCAAACTGTGATGATATCAAACAGAAAGCTCTGCCGTTATGCAATTTTTCAATATCAGTTTTAATGAAGTGTGTTTTGATAATTCTGTGAATGTATTACAATCACACGGCAATATGTGTCCATTGCAGCATTATTAAAATCTGTATTTAAATCACTATTTACTTATTCCTCTGATTTCAGAACATGAAAAATTTTGTCTCTATAATTATTATAAAACATTAATTAATATTAATGTAATATATCAAAATATATTAACTGTATAATTAATGTATCAAAATATATTAACAACATATGACTAATATATGGTATACATATGATAAAGTTAATAATATATAACAATATTAACTACATGCATATTATGTTATAATACATAGTTAATATATTATGACTAACAATGTGTTGCAACTTTGGACATACAAAATACCTCTTAATGAGTGTAAAATGTTAAATCTTCTTTTGAGTTCAGTATACCTCTACCACAATGAGCCCTAGGACGTTTGAATCAATTCTTTCAAGCCGTTTGTCTATTTGATTATGAAATCTCTATTTGGTCACTGGGCATAATCTTACATAGATCTCATTCTAGACACATATATCCATAAGCAACAAAAATGAAGCAATTGGGATCCATCACAGTAACTGTTAACAGAGCAACTATCCACATGATCTGGAATTTGCACATATCTGTGGTTTTTTTTCTGTATGCTGTTTTCGATAAAGATATTATAGTCCCCTAATAATACATACATCTAGTCCACACTAAGAAAAAACTATATTTTGCCAAATTTCATAATCAGACTGGGTTTAAAAACCAGCTCTGAAGACTCATAACTCTATGATCTTGAGATATTTACTTAAAATCTCTAAACTTTAATTTCTGAATTAGGGAAGTCATATGACAAAGTTGCAGTGAAGTCAAATGAAGAATGAATGCAAAGTCCCAACAGTTTAGACATTCCCTCTGTTCTTTCAATTAGTCATTAGCTTGAGCTGAACATTTTTTACATGGTTCCCTGGTAAAGGTGTTTTTACGTATAGTAAGACCTAATAGATAATATTATGTTATATAATATATAATTATTGTATATAAAACTAAATAAATATATAGTATGTATTTAGACATGTAGAAAGGGAATTTTTTTAATGAAAAATTAGATTGGCTGAAGAAAGTGGAAATCATCACATAGAGAAGTGGTTAGCATTGTGAAAGTACAGATATATACCAAATAATATTACAGAGACATACTAAAAATAAACCACACTGACAGAAAGAAATCTCATTAGGATAGAATTTTGGAAGATTGGTGTCTTCACTTGTTATCCCCAGAGTCTGACTTTTCTTATCATGCAGCATTGTCAGGGGTCTCTAAATTGAACAATATATGAAGGAGTTCTTAAATTTCAGATTTTGTAATAATTATAATAGGAAAGAGTATGAGTTTTGTAGTCTCCAGTTCAATTCCACTTCAATAAGAATTTGATGAGGAATAGGCAATAGCATTCACACTGGTCAAGGCTGGATCAAATTGTGATCCTACTTCTTATCTTAAAGTTGCCTGTTTAGAAATTATGCAGCTTGCTTTGATGCCTGTCTTACTATTAGCCCTTTAGTGCTTACCTTAAGAATGACTTAATAATACTGTTACTTTGCATCTCTCAAAAGGCCATGCCCTGTTCCTGCATGCTTTCTTCCAGATGTATTGTCTTCTGAAGGATGGGCATGACAATTTGGGGCATCTTTTGGTAGGAAGTATGATTTCTCCTGTTCGGGCACAAAGAAGTGCATATGGAATATAAACTAAACACATTCTCCCAGAAGACTCAGTTGTAAAAGGTAGCTCATTAACGTAGTGTTGAATGTTTTTATGTGAGTCATACTTGACCTTCTTGAATGTAAGTAAATAACTGAGATGAATTGTATAAAACCCTGAGGGATAGCAGAAGGGAAAGGGCATCCCTTTTATCTGATCCCATACCTGAGATTCCTTCCCTCTACCATACTACTGAAAATAAACAACTTGTCAGGTGCTCCAAAAAGTATAGAAAGAGCAGAAGTGAGTGTTATTATTTTATTACCTGTACTTACTGGGCATCATATTCTTTCTTCATGTGTTTTGCGTTTGAGGCTAGAGATAAAGGTAGAGGAAAAAGGACTTTAAAACAACAAATTACTTAAACATAGAGTCCTTTTTTTTTTTTTTTTTTTTTTTTTTTTTTAGGTGTTTTTTTTTTTTTTTTTTTTTTTTTTTTTTGAGATGGAGTCTTGCTTACTCTATCTCCCGGGCTGGATCTTAGCTCACTGCAACCTCCGCCTCCTGGGTTCAAGAGATTCTCCTGCCTCAGCCTCCTGAGTAGCTGAAATTACAGGCATGTGCCACCACGCCTGGCTAATTTTTGTATTTTTAGTAGAAACGGGGTTTCGCCATGTTGGCCAGACTGGTCTCGAACTCCTGACCTCAAGTGATCCACCCAGCTTGGCCACCCAAAGTCCTGGGATTACAGGCGTGAGCCCTGGTGCTCAGTCAAACATGGAGTCTTTACTCAACATTATAATAATATAAAAGTAGAGATCATGAGAATTAATTAATGTTTTGGAAGGCATACATACATACATTACTTAGAAAAAAGGAAAGCTCAGTCTGCCGTAAATTATGTGCTTTGTTTCAGCAACCCTTGTTTCTTTTCCTTTTCACTTCTCCTTTTTTTTTTTTTTTTTTTTTTCCTGTAGTGTCCTAAATGGGGCAAAGAGTGAGTTATCTGACAAATTTAGATTTTGCAAACCTGGGCATTGATGAGAGTGCTATTGAAACACATTAAGAAATATTTTCAACACACAAATGTGTCATTTCCTTTCTTCATGTCCCAGATGCTGAAATACTACGAGATAAAGATTTTAGGTTTCAATTGTAAAGAGAGAGAAGTGGATAAATCAGTGCTGCTTTCTTTCGGACCAAAGGTAAAAAAAAAAAAAAAAAAAAAAAAAAAAAAAAAAAAAAAAAAAAAAAAAAAAAAAAAAAAAAAAAAAAAAAAGGCTTATTTTAATGTTTTCTTTTCCAGATTTGCTTCTATTGATTGTTATGTGTCTACTCTGTATGTGTGTATGCGTGTATGCATGTGTGTGATATGTGATATATTTGTGTGTGTGTGTGTGTGAGATCCGTAATTTCTAGTAGACTGCTTTATTCTATCACCAACAATTTGGTTTGGTTGTTTTTGATAATCAAAAAATAGAGATGTCTGCTAAATTTTCCATGAGTGAAAAACATGTGTTCACAAATGCACATGAAATACACTGAATGTTGTATAGTTTGAAGTGGCAAGATGGTTTTTTTTATATCATGATGCATATTTTGTTTAAAATATTGGCTTTATTCAAAGTATAATTTGATATATTTCAGTATTCTCCTTTCTTAACTTTTAATGGAACATTTTTGATTTTAATGCTTTCTATTATCTTTCCTTGATTATATAGCAAATACTGGCTGGGTATCTACTATATGCTCTTCATTGAAATAGATGTGGGGAAAGGATACAAAAAATAAAATACAGCTCTTTTTGTATTTAAGAATCTTATGATTTAAAACATATCCCCAAATAGGGATAATGTAATTTGAGAACCTCAAGTAGTATGAAAGTGCGATTGCTAATTACTAAGAAAATATAGACGAGACCAGAATTACTACTCTGGGAGAAAAGACAACCAAAAAATAAATCTTCATGGAGATTCTAGAAATCCAATTAACCTTGAAGAATAATTAAGATTCACACAGCATATAATGGGGGTGTTGACCAGGTAAAAATAGTTATAGAAATATCATGAAACTGAAGTTACGAATGTTTTATGCATTGATTAGCAGTTTTATGCTGTGGGTAAGAGCTGATCTTCTGGGAATAGACTGTGTTCAACTTCCAGCTCCCCCATTCCCTAGCTGAGTAACATTGACTAGTTATTTACACACTTCAGGCCTTAGCTCCCCAACATGTAAAATGGAGAAAATACTACTGTATATATCATGAATATACTGTGAGAACAAAATAAAAACAGCTCATATTTAGAAAATGGTATTTTAAAACAACAGTGATTCATACATTGATGGTTTTCTGTGTACCAGGCAATTTGCAAAAATTATTTATAATTCTAACAATAATTATTTAAATTTATATTGTGATCATATTTTATGTATCTAAAGAAACTTCAAGTCAAATAAGTTAAAATATTTGCCTAAGGTTGTACAGCTAAATACTGTCACAGCCAATATTCAAATCTATATTTCAGATTCAAAACTTAATGCTCTTT